AAATAGGTGGGACTTACCAACAACAGAATCTAGTAGATTGACAATAAAACCAATCGTCATTGTGCATATAAAGATCAGTCGATCTGTTGCGAATCTAACATGCGTTCCTGGTGTCCTGGCAGTGCACACTGTATTACGTTGTTTGCCTATTATAAGTTGTGAAACTTCGTTTCATATCATGTGTTATATGTATTGTTATATTTATTCGGTCATCGTTGTAAATCACTTCAATAAAAACTAATAATCATAATCAAATATATTGTATCTATATTTATAAACTAAAACAAATTGTCAATTAAAAGTGATTAACATTGATTTTCATTCTTTACATGAATGGACATGGTCAGTTTAGAGGTGTTATGATTGTGAAGTAGAGAATAGTTGGTCAGATGGGTGTTCTTCACGTGAACTTACCAAAAATTGTGTGGATCACAACGGATATATCATTTACGAACCAGTGAATTAATTAAAATTAACATGCGGTTGGTTCAGATTTAGGGATTAAGTTATTAAAAGTTATCCAGTTGATCCAGATCGCACTACCACAGACTCTGTTGGAAGCGGACGTTAACTTTTCATCTACAGTCGAACTATTCAACTCTTCCCCAGAGTGGCTCTTAATGGAAATGAGTTAACAAGTTGTGGACCGATGGCTAGGTATTGTGATTTAAATCCGACAGTTGGCGACATTGGTAAATATGATTAAGGTTATTTTGGGGCTTGATTTGTAGATAGTAAAGGCTGTCGAAAAAGGGCCCTACCAAATATTTACCAAATTACTTTTACCATTAGCCAGTATTCACTAAAGGCACCCGAAAACGTCTTAACCAGAATAGAATTACCACCTTTAAGAACTTCTTTAATAGGAAGCCCTTTCACACAAATCTTATAGCGAATAGGAGCAAGAACAGATTTTTTTTTATTGTCATTGGTAATACATTAAACATGTCACTTTCTCGCCTTGGCATGTTGATGAGACAGCTACGACACAGTCGTTTAATAAATTGCTCTGTATTAAAACAAAATGGTATGAATTATTTCAAGTAATATTTTAATTCTGTTAGCTGAAGACGGACTATAAGTAGCTGAAGTCGGGACTATAAGCAGCTGAAGTCGGACTATAAGCAGATGAAGACGGACTATAAGCAGCTGAAGTCGGACTATAAGCAGCTGAAGTCGGACTATAAGCTTCTGATTTGAATGACATCGCTAAAAATTAAAACACAGGCACTTCTTTGGATATGTTCGAAACGATGGAAATTTATCGTCAAAATGTGACCTTAAAGAACCTTATATTTTTATCAATGCGAAGCTTTTTGAAGCGTTATTCCTATTATAAACCTGAATATAATCGATAAAATTCGGTATTCTAACTGAGGTGCAGAGATAGTGATTACTGTGATTTTCAAAGACAAGTAACATTTACCACCTTGTTTGCCATATCAGCTTCAACTGGAAGCTGGCGTTAACTTTTCATCTACCGACCGACCAAACATAAGTCTACAATATCGATTTTAGTAATATTAGGTAGCTGTGATATCACTTAGCTGGAAGCTGGTAGTATCTTGTCATCTTGTGATCTACCAACTACCCAGTCTGCGATATCAGTTACCTGGAAGCAGACGTTAACCTGTTATCTACCAACAACTAGTTTGTGATATCAGTTCACTGGAAGTTAATTTGTCAACTACCAGCAATTATCTAGTTTGTGATATCAGTTAGCTGAACGTCACTAGTTATATACCAACAACTACCTAGTCTCCGATATTAGTTATCTGGAAGCGGACGTTAACTTGTTATCTTCCACCAACTACCTAGTCTGCGACATCAGTTTGGTGAAAGCGGGCGTTTACTTGTTATCTACCACCAATTACCTAGTCTGTGATATAAGTTAGCTCGAAGCAGGCGTTAACCTGTCCTCTAAAAACCCATAAAGTGCTAAGATAAAATACATTTTGTTAACATGTCACGTTGACGCTATTGCCTCAGTAGAAAGTCGAGTGATTATTATGTACGTCGTCACTCCTGATGGATGTGCGGTCGTTTAGTTTTCTTGTTAGACATCACAAAATATAGGTTAATTAGGTAAATAGAATGAGAAATCTGTTTTACAAGATAAAAAATAGAATGAGAAATGGGAACTTTGTCGAGAAAATATACAACAAATGACCCTTGATTTGAGAGTAACTACCAGAACAACCATCACCTTCGTACGGTTTACCATACAATTTTCTAGATAACCTACCCCTTGTCAAAATACGACCTGAAGAAGAACCTTTCCATTATTTTTCAGTTCCACAATCAGTTTGGAAGATGAAATATTGTTAACATTACAAGGAATTTTATGTTTTTTGGCAACTTGTCACAGTTACCCAGAAGGATCCCGAACCGCCAGAAGGCACTGTTAAATTCCATATGGTCGGCAATTTTGTCTATGTTACCGATATCTCGCTATAAAACTAACCTTATTTATATTTCCTAACAATTATTAATATGTTTAAAATGAAATGAAATTATTGTTCAAACCATATCTCGATTAATAGAAGCTTTAAGCATTAAATGAGTATTGACAGTATTTGATAGAATTGAAAAAAATGATGACGCTAAGAACTTAAAATGTTTGCATGTACTTTATTTTACTTTTAAATTATAAACATTCGGTGACAAAAGGGCAATTATTTATGATCTAGGCTTTGTGGACATTACTTCGTTTGCCAAAAGTCATGAATACGTCTCAAGGGTTTGACAGGGGGGCACATTACAACTTCATGTTTGCTTGCTATAACCTTTGAAAAGGCTTTTAATTCTTGTAAGGAAACTTTACAGTTGACATATCAGCCCTATTGTTTTTATGTAACAGGTCCATCCATTACCTATATTGATAAATATTGATAACCTAAATGTATTATCAGTTTTCAAACGGATCCTTAGCGTAGTGAACAATACCCAAATATAACATGTTTATTCTTCTTATATAAAACTATCAGTTTACTTGTTTTCTCCTAATTTATTATTCATGCAGGTACACGTGGTTGTAGAATAACAACCCGAATAGTTTCAGTTGGGATCTGATATGTATCTGAGGTCTTTGGATTAACTACATCGACCATTAATTAAAAAAGATAAGCGTACTAATTCAGATTAAAGGGTAAGATAAATTAAGGTGCTGCATGAGGCAATTGATTTTTTCCTTTCGGAGATGCTTTGCTTCAAGCTTTCAAATATATATTAAAAGAAAACATTATTAGCTCCTTGGAAGATAAGATGACTGTACATTGCAATATAAGTCAGGTTGAGAATGAGCGTTTTGGAATAATTACTTGAAAATCTACTTGGTGGATTTATCGCATTCGGATTATGACATCAGGTGAGTAGACTATTGAATATCTAATGTTATTGTCCACGTTTCAGAAGTTAAATGTTATGTTCAGTGTTAGAAGTAGATTCTTAAGAAGCGAATAATTTAAGAGCATCCCATTAGAATGCAGGAAACGTGAAACTAATTGAAGGTGTGAGAATATACATCTTATGTTATAAGATATAGATTTCTTTAATAAGAGGCAAATAAGGAAACAAATAAGGTAGATGTTTTTTAATTGTGAGCTTGGATCAAATTGGAATTTAGAGCATCTCATTACATTTCATCAAACCTGGTGGTATTGTTGTTCCTTCGTAAACTGTTGTAGTATGTGAGCATCATATAAACATGTAGTTATGATACAGTTATGGGACATAGAGAAGACAACAGAGCAAGTTGACCTGCAATTGCTCTAGGTATAACAGTAAGTACTTTGAAAAATTGACATAGTTGTTGACAGACTGTATATCTTGAAAATTTATGTTCATGCAACAATGTTGACAGTTGTAGCTACATCTATGTAAAATGATCAAGTTATAGATGCGACCCCAATAAAACCTGTGAAATTCTGAATTCGAGGAATAGAGGTTTAAATTAAATGTCGTTTTGGTTACAATTGTGTTCATTGAATAATTTGTGAAAAATTAGAAAAAAAGTGAAAATATTTTATTATTTATAAAGGTAAAAAGGGAGATATAAGTATTTATTTTTCCGTTATCTACCCTTCTAATACAAAAGTTGTGTTGTTTTATGCGTATAGTGGTTCACCACCCTATAGACCAATCGTACCGTGAAAATGTGAGGCTTCAAATCAATGTGCGTCCAGAAATATCTGCGTTTGAAAATTAAAATGACGACTCATCTTTTCTTGATACTTGATTATGCGATCTTTTGCAGTTCTAGTACTGAAGAATATTAGCGTATATTCAAGACCCAAACCAATCACCGAAAATGGCGTACCATGATCCGTAATATGTACAACCAGAATAAGCAAGGAGCCCTCTCCCAGTTGCATCATTTATAAGAGGTAGCGAATAAAAATGGTGGATATTCTTGATTTTGTATTTCAGACCCAAGATAATCAATTGATATTCACTATGTTGGAAGATCTGATAGAGAAAGTCGGCTCATGGGGACCATTTCAATGGATGGTGGTAGTACTTGTGTCCTCAGCTAAATCGATGTTTGGATACAGTATGCTGATCATGTCGTTTGGTGGCATGGTTCCAGACTGGTGGTGTTTAACAGAGAATCAGTCTATAGATGATATGAACACCACCTCACCAGAGTACCATCTTTGTAACACCAATACTTCACATATCTGTATCAGGCATTATGAATATCATACTCGAACTGTTATACGTGAGGTATATATTATTAGTTCTGTTAACACTGTTGTCAAACAGCTAGAGTGACTTCATCCCTCTTAGTCAAATGCTTGTTTCTGATATCGAGGGTAAAGAACACACACAAAATCTAAAATTGCAGTTCCTGTAATTTCAAACTGTATTTTGAATTTCGTAAACTAGTTTTGTTTCAGTATAAGAGTACAATTTTCGAATTATTTAGTCCAATTAACGATGTACGAAGTACGATGAATTCTCTGCAACTGGGGATAAAAACAATGTTTATATCGTATTTTCAGTTTGATTTGGTGTGTGAAAATTCCTGGATTGGTCCCACAGTAACGTCAATACAGATGGGCGGTGTGTTAGCTGGAGCCTTTATCGGTGGTCAGAGTGGAGATACCTTTGGTCGGAAGAAAACCATCTATTTATCTCTTCTCTTTCATGTGGTCTTCAATATCACCATTGCCTTTTCTGTCAACTGGCAAATGTTTGCTGCTTTCCGTTTCCTGATTGGATTCTGTGTTGGAGCCTTCTTGGTGATCGTGGTATATCCCCTGGAGTTTATTGGTATCAAGCGAAGATCGTGGGCGTCCAGTATACCATTATGGGCTACGGGTGTAATGGTTCTGTCACTTTGTCAGTACCTTATACACGATTGGAAATATCTCCATATTGTATGTGGAGCTTTAACATTTCCGTATGTTTTAGGATATTTGTAAGTTTGCACTTTATATGTTATGTAAAGTAATATCGACGTAACTTACAGACCCTGCGGCTCAAATTTTTATAAATGTTTACATAAACCAAAGTACTTGCTAAGATGATAATAATATATAACAACCATATAACTAGTCGTGTTACTCAAATATCTATATGCACTCAAATCTGTATCTTTATTCACTGACATATCTGTGACCGTGACGAAAACTAATATTTAAGCAACAAATTTTACAAATATCAACACATCCAAGGACAATAAGAGTATCTATTTCAAACGTACCTAAGATAAGTAGGCGTATTCCATCTATTCTGGGCCAATTCTATATATGCGCACGAGTGCAATTATAACTCCTATTAAACACAATCATATGAAAACCCTATAAAACCAGCAAAATAACCTGTAACCTTATTTTTCCCGAGGCTTAGTACGTGCATTTATACTGTCACACCTTATCACATAGCTATCAAGTAACACACAGGGGTTGGAATGTTTACACTCATTTTTCATATTCGGAATGGCAATTCCAAGCCCAGAAAGTAGATTAGATTTAATAATAATTACTAAGTATCCAGCTTTTCTTTGTTAACAGATGTACCATATAATTTTTTAATCTCAATTTAAGTATCGTACCAGAAAGTGTTCGATGGTTGGCGATTAAAGGACGATTAGACGAAGCCAAAGCAGTTATAGAACAGATAGCTCGGTTTAATAGTAGACAAATTCCAGAGAACACTGAAAGTATTTTGAGTAAAATTGCTGAAATGGAAAGAGAGAATAACGAGAAAGGAAGCCAATATACATATATAGATATATTTCGGGGCAGATATTACTTTAAAACTAGCTTGTGTGTCCAGCTCATATGGTACGTTTCTTTCTAATTTAGTCCGCTGAGAAGGCGGAGAAAGTGGACCTTTACTGAGTCGATTCCGGCATATTTGAGATATACCTTCCGATTTTTCAACCTGGTGTCCAACTACCGTCGACTGTTGGAAATCGAAAAAGAGGACGGTTGTGCCGCTGACCTTGGTAAATGTCCTTATTACGAACTGCGTACTTTTTATTTGGTTGCATTGCGCTCGTAACAACGGACAGTTTCTAAAAGACACTATTGTTCAGGAACTAAAAGTATGCATTAAGCTCTGCAGTTTATCCTTACTACTTTATGGCTGAACACCCCCCTATCTGAGAATTTGTCCAAATGCTTTCCAGTGAAAAACATATCTAGAACTTTCATTGAATGGGGAGATATCCTTAATGTTTTGGAATACATTTCCTGTGATTGAATGAAATATCTATCAAAGGGGAGGTAAATGTCATCAAGCGATCTTACCGTTCTATTGTAGGTTATCACTGTCAGCAATATATTATGGATTCGCCTTTGGTGTCAGTAATTTTTCGGGAAATTTTTATTTAAACTTCTTCCTCATGAACGTTTTAGAATTTCCATTATTTTTACCAATTATTTATTTTCTATCAAAGTAAGTACCAAGATTAATTTATATGCAGTCTACAGCCTTCCATATCATCCAAACATCAAAACATATTGTAAGCTTTCCAATTGTGAATGTTTTTCTCCCGATCTATTTTGTTTCAACGATACAAAACCTAATCCAAGTCATATCAATTCGTTTTTCAAGAGTTTGTATCCTTAAAATAAGTCCTGATTAAATAATAATTTTATTTGCAGATCTAGACGTTATTCTTCAGCCGTTCCACTGTTTACTGCAGCTGCCGCCTGCATCGCAATTCTTATTATACAAGAAAGTAAGTGCATTTTCCCACAGTACGACGAGTGGCGGATGTAGCCTCAACAGAATTGGCCAGGTTTGCATTCCATTCGAAGAATTCACATAGATTATAATGTTGATTTGCAAAAAAGTTTACCCGTCAGATTCGACATACATTATGTTTTAAATACGTCCACTTGATTTATTCGTCATAAATGAGCTTTAAAAACATAGTCTAACGGCAAATAGTTATATATATATATATATATATCTTCAATTGAAATGTACAAATATAGTACTGTTGAGTCAATCCGTATCAGTATAATTTAATACAGTCCATTATCTTATTTCAAATAAATAGAAATAGTTATATTCATTATTCCTCAATATTTGAGGTATATAAAATAACACATTTTCAATTTTTATAATCTAGTTTTCTTTCAGTGGAACAATATTTCCTTTTCAGCTACGAATGTGACAAAGAGTCCCTTGATTACGGGTTTATCATTGACAGCCAAACTATTAGTCGGTGCTGCCTGGGTAGCCATGATTCTACTGACTAGTGAAATATACCCGACCGTTGTAAGGTACATATACTCATCTATAAATATTAATCCATGGTATAATCAATTTTGGTATTACATTACTGATGGGTTTCCTTGTCAAATGAAGCAAACTATTTGATTTATTGGTGTTTCTAATGAATTATCATGTATTCTTAATCATATCATTTAGTTCTTATTGCATATAATTAAGAGTTTTAACCAATCATAAATGTCCATGTATGTACAGTCTAGATAAATAAAAAAAAAACTTTTTGACCTTTCTTGATCGGTCACTCATTGGAATTCTGCTGTTAATTCTCTCCTAATTTAGCTAATTATGAATTGATTATGAACATGCGGGACAGACAAACTGGTATCTTTCCAAGTCATTAGAACACCTCTACTTTCTATTCATATAACAATTTGCATTTTCATTTTCCAAAATGAAAATAAGGAAATCCATCTTTAAGATGCCTCTTTATGTTACTATTGTATGGTAGATTTTGTTCATAATGTACTACTACAGACCCGTTTCATTTCATTTTTTATAGATTTGATATAGACTAATTACAGTATTAAACTAATTTCAAATTTTGTTTCATGCCCGTATAATAAGGGTTATACACGATGTTGATGTTGTTGATATTTAAGGTATATAGGGTATGGTGCTGCCAACACAGCCGCTCGTATTGGTGGAATATTAGCTCCCTTTATATTCAGTTTGGTGAGTTAAATAATACATATTATTATTAAAGAATGGTAGGGCTATCTTCAAAATAATAAGAACTGAAGTATATAACCATGCACCAACACCGCTTTCAATGATACTATAAAGATTCAGCCATATCTATAAATAGAAAACGATGAGCTGAAAGATATTACCATGTATCCACTCTTTCCATATTGTGTCTCTCGATACTATAAAGAATATGCAAATTCATGAAGTGCAACTGAACAAATCAAAGCAATGATTCTTTATTTTTCAGGGTAAAAGTCGGATGACACCTTACATTGTGATGAGTGTATTAATGACAGTCAGTGGTATAGCTACCTTATTACTGTCAGAAACCTTGAATAGAGCCTTACCTGATCTGATACTCAAGGAACAACCGGAGAAATCCAGCCAAGATAATTCAGTGTATCAGATATCCAATGAAACTCCCGACGAAAAGCCACAGATCAAAGATTCTAATGACAATTCCTATGGATCAGTAGAAGTCTCACAGACAGAAGTACTTAATGGACCTACTATAACTAAGATGTAATTAGTAATCCCGATACAGATTACAGTTACTGTTACAAAGAAAAGTTAATCCCACTATAATCTCCTACCTGAACATCAAATTCAAAAGACTAAAAACTACAAATTTTGGACTTCATTGTCATAATAATTGTAAGAAATATGACCCCAAACTCTAAAAGTTAACTCTTCTAGGTCTAGGTATGGGTAACTTAGACGAATAACATTTTTGAGCTGCAGTTGCCAGTTTTTTTATCTGTTCTGTTCTTAAAACTTCGAAACAATTGACAAATACATTATATACACGAAAAGATATTGGACAAAAATCGGAAGTGACTTCACTCAATTTTAATCCATAAAAATGGTTCAAAATATTTGTTTTGCCATTTTTTTAATTGTTTCATGCCCATGGTGTGTTTCTAATGGAATGTGATGTAATATACTATAAAATTGAAATTTCTGGACTATTGTCTTCACAAATTGTGGTTGATCAATCCATTAGTTATTTAGATTGAAGCTGTTTTATGTCATAAGCTTATTATTTTGTTATAAAATTATATAATCGCATAAACTAATGTTCGTCGAATGATGGATAGAATTTAATTGGCAATTCACTTGTTATGTTATAACTACCTCATTCAAATAAAGATGAAATTTATAATTTGAAATGAAAGGGAGTGAAAAGGAATTTTATGTCCTACCGCTGGCCATTACTGTGGTTTGTCATGTCGACTTGCAAGTAAACTGTTATAGTTATTTTATCCCCTTAACCGAGGTACTTGTGATTATGCTTAGCCGTGAGGGGATGTCGCTACCCTGATATATGGTCCATATTACACACTTTTGCTTCAGAATAGGACGATTAAGGGGTCCCTTCAGAGCTTTGGCACAAATCTATCAGCAAAATTCATCATACACTCCGTCATCATCAGCAGTATAACAGTAGAAAGTGGATATCATTAAAAGTTTAATAATTATAGTCCATAAATAACAGCTTTGCAAACTTAAAAAAAAAATTACGAAACGTTTCGGGCCTTTATAAAGAAAACATTGGGTTATGGTGGTAATATTTTCATCAACAAGTAGAAAGAAAAAAATCTTCTCCAATTAACCTTATCTGAGTTAAAAACAAGTAAGATAATCCGTTATTCAATAGAAGGTCGGGTATTGAAGGTTCAAATCAAAGTGATTAACAAAACACCTGCAAGGTTTTAAAGACACAAGAACACTTCATACTCTACGAATCCTTATTAACAGACCAATAGCATACAATCAGAGAGCAGAAATAAACTGATAATGGACGATACACGACACCATTTATTGACCCCACAAGCTGAAGATTGTCACAACGGTCGATAACTCGATTTTTAACGGATGACGGCAAAATGGCGACCTTCTTAAGTCGTTGATGATCACGGTTATTTTTGAATTGCTATTTATCCACCTGTTCTTCGATTTATTAATCCACCATATAAAACATGGAATCTGTGATAACCAGGAATTCGTCGTTGGGATCGCGATTGACAATATGGGTAAGTGAAGATTTCTCTTTAAAAAAATTTGTATTTTGATACGTATTTGGTATATTTATTACACATGATTCTGCTTTTCATTTTGTTTGTTTATTTATTTATAAGAAGTAAATTTAAAAAGGTGCTTAACCTCATCAAATTGCCAAATAAGTAGTTTATGGCCATGTGGGTTCTGGATCTATTAAAACAAATTTTGTGATGCTAGTATTGAGAAGGTTTTCAGATTTCTGTATTTTGAAATATTATCTATGCAGGTAGGATCTGACATGCAGACAACAGAGTTGTTTAAATCAAACTCTGTAAATGTTCGCTGTCGTTACCCGAATTCATTAGATTCTGTTTCTGACAAACATTATTCAAACTTCTACTAATCGTTAACAGGATTGTTTTCATTAAAATTGACTGAATTTCGTCTTTGATTACTGTTTATCTTGCGTACCTGTTTTAATCTTTTTAATTGATTCTCAAGGGCGAACCCTGCCTGTACCAGTATCATGTGAAGTATGTGGTGATAAGAGCTACGGGAAACATTATGGTGTATTTTGTTGTGACGGTTGTAGCTGTTTCTTTAAAAGAAGTATACGTAAAAATATCAATTATACGTGTATTGGTGAGTACCAAAAACAATGCGTATTTAAATCGTGGACAATGCATCATATGTCTCTTGGGACAAAATGAAATAAAACTGTAAAAGATTCTTACAACTTGATGATTTATTATTTAATCAAAAAGAAACGACATTAGCATGTGGAGAGAAATTTATATTTCAGGAAAGGGAACATGTATTATTGATAAAGCCAGAAGAAATTGGTGTCCATATTGTCGCCTTAAGAAATGTCTTAGTATCAACATGAATCGTAATGGTATGTTTTTTTTCAATCCTCTGCGTAGTACGTCACAATACATAATAATTGGCACTTGAACCATATGATGCGCATCTCCCCACTCGAACCGCTTTGTAAGTATTTGTTCTAAACACATACCACGAGGTCATCAATATTTCCGGTAATCTTGCTGCCCGACAGATTACTATCGGATTTTTTATTCATCAAAGCAATGGTGAAGTTATCAATCTGCATATTGTGTCTTGCAGCTGTGCAAGAAGAAAGAGGACCGAGAAAAAATAAAGGAACACGTCGGAATCCATACGATAAAAATAGAAGAACATCAACTGCATCAGATTCGCCATCATCATCTAGCCATCATCAATCTCTAGAGTCAGATCACCTACCAACCAGCCAGATACATCGGTTGTCTTGGAATTCATATTTCAGTGCTTTTAAACCGGTGGCTCCAAGAAATCCGTTCATGAGCTGGCAAATAACATCTCTTCCTCATGTATTCTTAGCTTCACCACCAACTATATCTGGATCACCGGTATCAACTGGTAAGTGGAGGTCGCTTGATGGTATATTACCACCAGTGTTCTGTATACCAAGTCCGATAGTTCGTATATTCAAATCTGTGTTCGGTAGAGAAAGCAATTTGCCTGTTATGCCTGAAAGGGTTTGATGTTACGTGCAGTCTGAGACTTTTTTGGCTGGTTTAAATAGTAACCAGTTTATCATATTGTCCTCTCTCACTTTCTTCCGCCGTAGTACAAATCTTGGCTTATGAGCTATGTTTTCTTACCGCCTTCTTAAGTATCGAGGTATGAGCATATGAGCGACCGTAATACGACCTAAATGCTGGACGACGACGTATGCAACACAATAATTTGCATACTTAAACCATACGGTAAATGTCTGACGAGACAGTTTTACCATAGTTAGCTTATGCGCATTCAGATAAATAATCTGGTGAACGTTTTTTAATTCGATGATGATTTTATTACAGGTTTGATCTACAACCGTGAGTCTGTAGCTATTACTATATGCCAACAGATCTTAATGTCATCATTACGGCGGTTACACTACAACCGAATATTCCGGTCTCTTTATCCAGCTGATCAGATGCTACTGGTTCAAAATACGTGGAGTGAACTATTTCTTCTTTCTGCAGCATATTGGCCAGTAGACATCTGCCAGATTATACACATGGCTGTAAGTAAGATTTTTTTTCACAGCATGATTATGAAACTTATATGAAATTACATTTACAGATCTCTTGACAGAAGTAACAACGCAAATCGTACAACTGAGGTGTCCTTGCAAATTTTAGTACTTCCGTCATCATGTATTCTTGTTTGTAGCAATCAAGTATTTGTATTAAAGAGACCGCGAACATAGAAACATTGATAAATAAAATTGAATGAATGGACTTTCACGTCCAACTTTTCTGCACCTTATGTGCTAATGAAGACAGGCAACGTCATGCAATGTACAATGAGGGTCATTTTGCCAGGACAGCGGTATAAGTCTACATTTCCAAGCCACATGTAGTATCTTGTATGCTATCTTCCAGAAATCAACTAACGACCAGAGTTGTAAAATTAAGAAGATACTAGCAGGTTGTCAGTCACTGAAGGTTGACAATACAGAACTACCGTATCTAGAAACTATACTGGTTTTACGAAATGGTAAGAAACCAAGTTATCTCCCTTGACACAATGAAATTATCGTCTGGTGTTATTGTGACACAATGTGATATGTGTAAAACTCTGAATATGTATATATGACAAGCTACAAGATATCTTGAATACTAGCAACCCCGTCTAAAGCTTCTACATAGCATTCCGATAACTAAACCTTTCGAAGCCAGAATACACCATTTATAAGCCACACAACAATTCCGTCACAGTTCAATGGTTAGAGACACTACTCACTGCGTTGAAAACCTAGCTCATCATAGCGGGGACGAACCAATGCGTGGGAGTTTTGTGGACAGTTGGTAGTGAATATCGTCAAAAACATAGATGTTGGCTTTTTTTACCTTTAATACAAGAGTTATTGGTCTTTGATTTTTTTATTATCTTTCAGATAATTCATCAAAGTTGATAGAGAATTCTAAAGTAGAAACATTATTAGACCAAGCTCAGTTAGCTCTAGCACAATATGAGAGTAGCCTGTATCCTGACAGCCCAACCCGTTTTGGTAAAATGTTGTTAACCCTTCCTGATCTCAAGACACTCAGTTCTAATACCATCAAAGAGTTGTTCTTCAGTTACAATGGTGGATTTGATATACAGAAACTAATTTCGTCTTTTTACATCTGAGGAAGCTTACTTTCACAACAATTCGTTCTTACTAATCTCTGTCTCTGTGAGACATAAACCTTCATTTAATAGATTTAACAACGTATAATACTGTATTTGTTCATTTACAATAGCAATGGTTACTTTATTTTGATTTTGATAATATTTTGATTTTTGCATCCTTTAGTGTTCGATCATTAACTTATAAAGATAACATACAGAGACGATGGTTGGACCCTTTCAAATGTTTACAATGTGAAGAAAGTATTATTCGTTGCAAAACCAGAAATTTGTACATAAAAAGTCAGTTCGAAAAAATCATCGTTTAATGAGAAGTTTTAAGTATTAGTAACACAATATATTCTCTGAGGGCGTATGCACGTGTTGCATTGATGGAATATCGGATCACAGGGGGTGTTATCTTTGGTACAGATTTGTGTGCGTTTGAAATAAACGTTTATTTTTTAGATGCTACGTATGCACGTGGGAGAAGTATATAATTGTTATCAATAAGTTAAACAATCGACTTATTATGAATACAAAGATTAATCATGGTTAATGCGTGGGTGAACTGTTATCAATATTTTTAACGTTTTTTGTGGAATATTATATTGATGCAATCGGTCAGGAATTTTGATTATTTAATCTCAAAGTTCATTGTTAAAGAAGAACACTGAATGGGTAATTCATTCTATACCTCTATAAGGTGTGAAATTGTGAAAACAAATTCCTTTCAATAATACTCATATTCTAAGTAAACGTTCTGCATTGACGTATTTGTATATCCCTTGTAGCGGTTATTACCATCACTTTATCAAACTATCAAATTTGTTTCGCCCGATTTTCCATTAGTTAACAAGGCTGGCTCGACAATAGAAAAATAGCCAATATAAAAATAAAATGTCAGATTTAAAAATTTAAGATAGAAAACGAAGAATTATTACCCCAAACATCTTCATAATGTACGAGTTGGCATGTGATATCATTACATACTTTCTAAATTTATTGGCTTGTACAAGTCTACAGTGTTTGTTTTGTATCAAATTATGGCAGATAAAAGTTTAAAGGAGAGAAGAACACCTGTTGAGAGAAGACGATCTCTAAATTCCAATTCTAAACAACTCTTACTTCATAGTACACAGTGACATCAAAACAGTTTACTGGCAATGATTGGTGCATTGAATGATATGTTTCAGGTCATGTTCCATCAAAGTACCTGTCGTTCAACTGTCACTGGGTTCGCCATTTCGTCATCATTTTTGTCCAATTCATATACCTGCCAGTAATTATCAGGGGTCTGAAGACGTGGGGAAAAGGACACTTTTCAAGCATCCGTTTTTGACGGATACTGCTGGTCCTACCTGTTCCCCATAACATGATATTTTTCGATTTTTCTATAGGGTTCAACCTTGGGTTAAAATGATCTGTTACACTTCGTTTCGTCAAAATCTGTCAAGATTTGTGCTTTCGAGAGTGTTGACGCAAATTGTGGATCGGTGGACAAACGGACATTGGTGAAGCCAATACACATTTCATGTGGGCGTGTAAAAAGCAATGTCTACCCACGTGATATGAGTCTTGTAATCATTAGTGTAATCTGTAAACTACGTCCGAGGAACGGGTAGTGCCAGATTTGTGGGGTTACTTGTTAACCTGAGCTACACCTACCTAAGAAACAGTATAACTTCAACCAATATGTTACTAGGGTTAACTGTATTGGACAGAGTGTGACAGTGTTATAAACTCAGTAATATTGTAATAATTAGTGTCATATCAATCTAGATTAGCTTGTATCACTAATAATAATTACTTTCATCATATGTTTAACAAATAACCTAATACAACCCTTTAAACAGTCAGACTATTATACAGTGTTGAAGTATAGGTAGCTTCTATCACTTATATTAATTTTAATAATAATCGTGTATACCCTTTACCTCGAAATATATGATTTTGAACATGGTTAAAGGAATTTTATACGCTGTGACAGGACAGCAGGAATAGCCTACTACTGTTTTAATTTCCAACTGTAAAGAGCTGCATATCCTATTACACGTCAGTATGTTTGAGACGAAGGTCGCTTGTCCTTTATCAGTCCCACCAACCTGTATCACGGATAGCAGGAAACTGGTTGAACAATTCCCAGTCGAGTCTCAGATTACAGAAATGAATTATGTAAAACACACAAGGGGACTAATCTAATCATCACCTTCTGTCTAAAACTCAGAAGCAGATATTAGGACGTAAAACTCCATTCCATTCACGTCTATCTATCAACGAGTGATACTATAGCGGCGCCTAGTAGTTGTGTGAGGAATGTACCTGAGCTACAGAGAAGAAAGATCACTTGATGAATATTGTGATGACCTGTGTAGGTTAAAATTCTCTAGCTTCTATATTGTATCTTTTTATATAACAGTCGTAACATATGTTCTACAGTCAGATCAAATAAAATCCGTATTAGCAAGACAATTCCGTTAATCAAAATCTCGTCCAAAATATGACAAAATCGAGAGTAGAAAATGTGTAGTTGTGAACTTCTCCAAAGAGAGGTATCACCAGGTGTTTCGAAAAGGGTAAGCATGGTCTACAACGCGCGCGACACCCGCTACTACCACAATAGTAATAATCGTGAGATACAACCAGATCAATACATGCTTTACCAAACAAATCAGCCAAAATGCCCGAAACAAATATATTGTATTTATAGAGGAGTTCTGCATAGCGACCATAAAATTTCCTACATGACATATTAAATGTCAAGAAACCTTGTTTCAGCAATTTCAAAGCTAATACTCGACCTTTAGCTAGGATATCCTCATAAAGAGAACAAGCCCTAGCATAGCGGATGAGTTGTAAAATGCACGCTCCATAAGCTGGTGATTGTGGTATAATACTGCACACGAATGGAAAATTTACTATGGGAAAATCGAAGTCACGTTTCTCAAAGCCCGGTTAAGATCAGCTAACATGTCTGGCCATTTGTTGTAATTCAGTTCAAGTACCCTGGGGTGTTTGGTCTAGAACTTACCATAGTCCGAAATGCTTTCAAGCGAGCCAGTCTTTGCTGAATGACTTTTGACAGTTGGCTCATTTAGTGTCCAATGAGGTATCAGACAACAGTAGATATCAGATGCCTATGTTTGCGCTCTAAAACGGATTTTTTCATACCTCCGTGACAAAGAATCTTTCATACGATTGTGCAGCGAGAAATTGTATGCGAAATGCAAGGAATAAAAACATTGTCTGTAAAAATAATCCGCGCAATATTGGTTTTTCAACCCATCTACACCGTAATGCCAAATTTAAAGTTAAATGAACTAGTTTCAGTTTATAATTTATTCTAACGTAATGAAGATCACATATGTTAACACTGCGAATTGTGTAAAAATAAAAGTACATAAAAAATACATTGGGTGTACCAAAACATAATAATTCAACGGTGAAAACTTAAAGAAACAACAAAATAGGGGCAAACTTCGTAAATAAGTCCATTTACTATGTAAAAGAAATTCAAAAAACTATTAACAAGAATCATCAGAAGACTCGACCTCAGATTTGATTGAATGATGAACTGGTTTTTGAGTCATCAAAACTTCTTCACCAAACTGAGTTCTAATATAATCATCATTAACTATAGTACACGTCATTGGTACGTATCTACTTTTACTAGTAATAACACCTCCGTACTCTAGTCTCTCGTCACCGGATTTACCACATAATCTTTCTAAATCAGCATCACATCTCTTAACTGTCGAGCATGTCTTCTTCTAAAATCACCATGAGAGAAACAATTCATATTGGCAGGGTGGATTGTCCAATAATGACTTTTACCATTGTCACTTCGTCCACATTTAATAAAACATTCATTAAGAGAGAGATTATGTCTGACACTATTCCTCCAACTTCTATCTGACATTTTATAATAGGGGAAATTATTCACAATCCATCTGTATATCTCTGACAGTAACATCTTTTTACTCGACGAACTTTGAATAGCCATAGAAATCAACCCAATATAAGACATGTTAGGTTTTTTTACTGATAATTTTCTTAAACTAGCTGGAATAAAACCAGATCTGAAACCTTCTGGTTTCTTCAGATTTAAAACACCGTCATAATTCTTCTTCATTACCTCTACATCCATTATAGCTTTACTTTCCATTGAGCGGATCTTGAGTTAGGATTCGCCCTGCACTGTAGTAATCGAATAATGTTCAGGAAAATCTATTTTTAATAGTTCAGGCTGTATTCTGTACAATTGAGGCACCCTTCTTTGAAAATTGTAAATAGAGACGTCGATTAAATTAAGTTAATCGTCGGAATGTCCTAAATCTAAATCGAAGTTCTGGTAGATCTGTTCTGATCGGAGTTAATCTCGATTCTGTCTTTAGATTGCTTCTCGAATCAT